AGGACAAATACAAATTTCTCAGGTGTTTAGGACACATTAAGGAAAAGCTCATTTCCTTATCTTTTAGTTTCCTTTCAGTTTTAGTGGTTTAATGGATGACCTTCTATCTAGAGACGATCACCGCTCTGAACAGTCGTGAAATCCATCGTCATTTTAAAAATTAATGTCTGCTCTCCATTGCAAAACAGACCTTTTATTTGAAACATCATGAACATCCTTTGGCTATTATAATTGGTAAAACAATGGATGGCCGTAATTACCAAACAGCAAGAATTATGTACAAAGTGTTGAAAAATCTTTTGCCACTTTTAATACCCTAAATAATTAATTTGTTGATTTGTTACTAAATACAAATGCCTCCCATTTGATGCTGATGATGAAAAATGTGCATTTTTAGGTAGTAATATTGTTGCTTACTAAGACTTTAGTTTTGGCAAACTTTGGCTGTCCTTACAACATGGCAGTCAATGTTTGTGAACAAAAGAAACGTCAATAGAGCGATTGTGAGGACAACGTTTCTCCGAATCCACGCGCCATAAATACTCTTATAGCAGAGAATCTGACTGCATGGAAATCGCAATTTGGTCCGCGCAGGCAATTAAGGGCCTTCTGGCCTGCAGCCCTACATGACGCTGGCAAGAGCAATGCGTAATGTTGGCAATCATTGGGTAAAGCTTATTCAAAAATAACGCGAGTGACCACTTGACGTAGGTGCGCGTGATAAGTTTGGACTAGTGGATGTAAATGCTTGGGTAAGGGAAACAAGTACCCAAAGCACGATGCGTGTCCACATCCGTTACGTTTTGCCTTCGCAAACGTTTATGAACGGTATCTGCCCTTCCCAACTACGAACCCACATAAGGGTGTGTTTCTTTATAATTTCACCCCGTTGAAATAATTATATTTCGAGAGAACGAAATAACAGTTCCAGGGTGCGAAATATTATTTCAAGGGAAGGAAAAAAATTCAAGGGAACTAAATTAAAGAAATAATATACTAACTCCGTACCAGGTGGCGGTAAAACGAGTGCACTGATTATGCAAGCTTGTGAAAAAGTTCTTCAACAGAAAAGCATTCCAAAACCTGGTTGATGTTCTCAGAGAAAAAAAACGAGTTGGTCTTACTCTCAAGTCGGCCATGCTGAAATGAAAAGGAGGTTAGCTTGGCAGTTTAACTGAGAGTCAAAATGAAAGCAAATAAATTGAAGCTCCGCGCGGTCTATTGCTATGAAGCTCATTTTGCTAACCATGCTATTCATTTTTGTGTCTGCTCCGAGCGGGAACCAAAGAGGGCGTGTTTTTAAATGACAGTAATTTGGTAGAAGCTCACCGCGTAGGCGCGCAAGTTTATTCGCTTTTGACGCGAGGCACATTAAGTACGCGTAACAAATTTATATTGGAATGTATCCGGTTCATAAGTGTGACGTCACTCCAGTTTAAACCACGCCCACTGCACATGCACTGCACATAGAGTTACATAAATTGATCGACGTTTGCATGGAACCGGAAGTTAACGTGCAACTCCAACGATCGTTCAAATCGTGGCGCGTCCGCCATTGTGACGAAGACTCTTACGAACCGGATGGTCTTCGCGTGTGCGCCGAACGCGTGCAGGAACTCGGTTGGAAAATTTTCCACCGGCCTGTCCTTCTGTTGCTGGTGAGTGTGCACTTCAACCGGGGGGGGGGCGTCGCTTGTAGCATTACTAACCTCATAAATATTCATGAGCGAATCGGAGCGTGTCATTGGCCGATTCTACTTCGCGTCGTGAAAGTAGAAATGATACGCTATCAGGTGACGTCATAGCGGTGAGCATCCACCTTGCTGCGTGCAGTAGTTTTTTTCTGGTGGCATAAAAAATCCCTCTGGAACCCGCCACTTAAATATGTAGTCTTTGTCATGTAATCTTTACGAAACCAGTCTGGAGTTGTATCCTAATAACTATTACAGTAAAGACCCAAAAGGTATGTCAGCACCAGACTATTGAAGCCCTGTTTCTATGCACATCTGCACTCCACTATCATTACATGGAAATTTAGCAGCTGAGAAACAACAAAGGCGCCTGTGAGTACAAGTAACGTGAGATTTCTGTTTGAATATTTATGAAGTGTAGTAAAACAAATACAGCATGGTTTATTTCGGGAAAAAATGGGAATTCCTGGTCCCGAGGTGTAGGTCAGTTTGACTACCTCCCTCCGCTTAGCGTCGGGAGGTAGTTAAGCTGACCTACACGTCGGGACCAGGAATTCCCACTACTTCCCCTCAAACAATGCTGTATTTGTATACTACAGACATATGAACGCATAGACCGCCAGTCGTGCGCATATAACCGTGATTTTGAAAAGTATGGGCAAACAATCCGGTTCGTAAGTGTGACGTCACCTCAGTTTAAACCACGCCCACTGCACATGCATGCTAGAGTTACATGCATTGATTGCCGTTTACATGGAACCTTGGAAACCGGAGGTTAACGCACAACTTCAGAGATCGTTCAATGGGAGCCTGCAAATCGTGGCGCATCTGCCTTTGTGTCAAAGTCACTTTCGAACCGGATAGGCGAAACGATGAATGGCAACGCGTTCAGTGCGCATTACGTGCAACGCACGTACATTGCCTGTATTTGTTTTTATAACACCTCACCCACAGATTCTGTATCTTGATTGACCGAAAGTGTGTCATGTGACGCTTGCTAGTTTTACTATTTTTATGGAGTACCGAAGTGTGACGTCAATGTGATCCAGAAAGTGCAGTGCAAACGAATGGAGTACGCGCGCGTGTTGGTTCACGCGCTTGTTCTAGCGCTTATGCCTTTTACACACTAATTGTGCGTGTGACATATTCACTTCGGTACAGTACCAGGGCCAGATTAAGTAATGCCAATGCGCGTTTGGAAAGGGTCGACAGATTTCGCACATTGTGATTGGAGGCGCACCATTGTGAATCGCCTGTATTATTCATAAATACCTCAGACAGTCTCCCTATTCAACAACATACAACTTGACCGTATATTAACATCTGATAATGCCCGCTGATCATAATTCGCATGGTATAACTGTGTCCACTACCACTGGCGTTGATTGGAACTTCCCGGATTGGTTCTTTCCATTGGAGGCAGAGAAGTACTGTTTAGTAACATTTTCATGTTATGCGGGTTCTTTTGCCTTTTTAATGGTTGAGTTTTCCCAATTTTCCCATTGCACAAGCGCCCTGCCAAGGTCCACTACTAACTGTTTTATGTCTAAATATAGAAGCAAAAACTTTTGTAGAGCAAGGAAAAAGCAATTCATTTTCAAAATTTATTTCGTCAAAAACATTCAAAATAGAGCATATTAAATGTAACTGTTACCATAGACATATGAATCAATCGCCAAACACGAGCAAGCTAAACATTCCAGTTTTGTATCCAAGATTGTCAAGGCCGTGTTTGTTCCACAGGGATCTGGATCACGAGCAGCGATCCGTCGTTGGTTTACTAAGACCAAAACCCGCCTTATGGACTCTGCGAACAAGCATTAGCATCATTGATGGAGATCCAGATCCGTGTGAGACAAACAGACCCCAAGAGTTCGCTACACTAGGATATTAAGCAAACGCAGTGTCAAAAAACTTACAAGGAGTGGATTAGGTTTTAAGGGACCATTCAACACTAATGTTTTTCTTTAACACTTCAAATTGCACTTTTGTGTTTCAATGAACCATTTTAATTGGCAATTTAATCCGTATTTTGGAGCCTCTTTGGTTATCAGTCAACGTGAATTGGCATATTCATGAGAAAATTTGTGATGTCATTGTCATCACAGGCACTGAGTACCGTGGCCTTGTGGTTAAGAGCATTGGATTCGTAGTCGCTGGTTAAGCCGCAGGTTGCGGGTTCTAATCCAGTGTGGGATCATGGTGCGTGTGCCCTTGGGCAAGGCACCTTGTCACTCATTGCCCCTCTCCACCCAGGAGTAATTGGTTACCTGTGAGGGCAGAGATAGTTATTGTCGTTGATTTAGCTGCTTGGCGCCGAAATGGCAGCATCGAGCTGTATATTCCCCAGGAGCTGCAGTGGTATTTGGAATGTTTAATTGGCCCAGGAGAAGCGCTTAGGCACTTAATTGCATTAGGCGCTTAAGAAATGCAGTCATTATTATGTTATGTTTTTTCAAAAAAACGGCAAGATTTTTAAAAATATTTTTTCTCGTTAGTTTCGATTTTCTTTGGCAATTCATTGTTGTATAGATATATAGCACTAAGCCAGCGACGAACCATTTCTTCAAAATGTTTGTAAAATACAAACTTGGGGTTACAAATTTGAATATGAAAACATGTAAGCTGAACAGTGTTTTCCCTGATTTACATCACAGCAACAGCGCCCGCAAATGTCCGGAAAAGCTTGGACAGAAGAAACGTATAAGAATACACAAAAAGTGAATCTTAGATAAATTCATTGCAAGCATCCCTTAAGTACTCAGGAGTACGGAGGAGACAGAAGTAGGCTACAACTCCCTCGCTTAAACTTTCATAAGTGGACACCTCATTACTTGGTGTGTTATTCATAGCGCGCGGCGTAGCCAGGGCTCTATCGAAACTTAGTAGGGTGCGACGGGGGGGGGGCTGAATGTTAACGTGGTGGCGTCCAGTTTGTGTTAAAGCCAGTAAGCGTGGTACTTTGAGTTATAGAACTTACACTTGTGTTAATTCCACTGTTTCTGCAGATCGATGTTTAAGATTAAGTGCAAATGACTCAAAATAATTTCGATCAAGGGATAAAACGAAAAGGTGCATGATTAGATTCACAGCTAGTTTTACATAGTACAATTTTTATTCGAATTTTTGCCATGTTTTCTCTCTGTTTGCCAGACTACCAGTGGGGGAATATGCCCCCGGCAGCTACGCCGCTGGTCATTCACCAGTCACTCATTGATATACTCATTGATATATTTAATTTTCCCCATCCTCATCTTTTTCTCTGTCGGTTTTTCTCCGTTCTTTCGGTTTACCTCACCCCTTGCATAGGTCTTGGTGCTTGTCCACATAAGACGTCCTCCAGTGGTTGCTTCAGCTTCGAAATTACTTCAAACGTGGAGGAGAACATCGTGTCAGCCAAGTTGTGGTTCCTCCTGAATGACAGTCCCATGGAGGTGGACCAAAATCGGACGTTGGTGGTGTCCCACATCGGTACCGGTCGCCACTCTCGCCGGACATCGCTTCACACCGTCACTGTGGTGTATCGGGCAGACTGGGTGACGGTGGATGTCACGCGTGCCGTGCGGCATCTGGTGGTACACGCCAAAAAAAACTACCTATTCGAGGTCAGGTGCACGACGTGCCTGAACACCGGGAACCCCACCAACATGAAGTCCGGGCGGCGGCCCTTCCTCGTCTTGGGGAAAACCGAACGACGTCCCCGTTTGCCCCGATCCATCATCTGCCCCCCGAATCACACAACGTGCTGTAAGGAGATATTTTATGTCTCATTTGCTGAACTCAAATGGGACTGGATCATTGAACCGAAAGGTTATTCTGCCAACTATTGTAGAGGGTCATGTGAGGACAACGTAGCACAAGGATATGGCCACACCTATATCATGACTACAGTGAAGAACATGAATGTAGACAGAGGACTGTCTATAATTCCCTGCTGCGCCCCGATCAAGACCAAGCCCCTGGTCCTTCTGTATTATGATAATGAAGGTTTTATCTATAAGAAACAGCTACAGAACATGATCACGGAGAGCTGTGCTTGTATGTAAAGGAACCTTGAGTTTCTATTATTTATTGAACACGATGCGTCAGGTAGCATCCTGAGATGAATGGTCATAGGCCTATGACAATCAGAGGTAAAAACCGAACTGAAGAGCAGAGATTCCTCGTGAGTAAAATCAATCGATACGGTTTAGATATTGGCGCTTGGCTTGAAACTGTTCAAAACGAGCATGCAGTAGAATATTTTAAGTTCAGTTCAGTGTCAGCTGTCAGAAATATCTAAAAATGGTTCGAGCGGAAACCGAGATCGTTAGTTAAAAGAGCCATTTCTTCCACAGCTCCCTAAGAAATCATTCTGAGTCAATTATTATCTTTGTAGCCGTTTTACCCCCAGCTGTGCAAACTGTGAATTTGAAATTTTCGTTCAGTAATTAGCAGTCGTACACCTATCGGGGCGCTGTGCAGCTTATGCAGCGAAGGTTATTGTAGCGATGGAAATCACAGAGGTCCAGTTCTCTGCGCACGTTCGGGTTCCCCTTGGCATGTCTGTGACCATTCCTGTCACTCACTCCAAGCACCCTGTCCGAGTGAGCAAACCAGAGGACATATGTTCCTACCCCGGAGCTCCCGTGAGAAGACGCTGTGAGCAGACTATAAGCTAGCACCGAGTCCTTTCAGTCTTGCTTATGCACTTAGAGTCCGTTGGAGGAAAAAACAGCAAAACAGAAAATTGATGTTCTAGTGCTGAGAAAATTTGTTGTACTTTTTTAGTGGAAAGGTTACCGGATCTTGGCTGTAGATCTTGGTCACTGTTTTTGGAGTCGTCTTTGCTATTATAAGCCCAGTGGCGTAACTACGAGGGCACAGGGGGGCACGTGCCCCCCAACGGAGGCCCGTGCCCCCCAGGTGCCTCCCCCCATTTGAAATTTTGAAATAGACAAAATATATATTATAATTATATAATTTTTTCCAGTTCCCCCTGAAAAAAATTGTGCACCCCCAGGTGCCCCCTCAGCTGTAGCACCCTAGTTACACCACTGTATAAGCCAATGGATGTTTCAATCATGGACTTGAACCCCCCCACCGGCAGTGCTTTTCAGGAAGATGTTTCTTCATTCTTGATTTAAAATCATGGCTTCCAAAAATCGGCAAGTGGGCGTTGCATATATTTTTACCTGGACTTTCCAAATTAAAAGTACATTGTACATAGCCATTTCTACGAAATTAGCCCTTAGTATGGAAAAATTGTTCGTCGTTTGTGTGATAGACATTAGAAGAGTGATTAAAAATAAAGCCTGCTTGTGCGACAAGTTTTTTCTTGAAAATTAATATAAAAATTGCATAAACATGCGGGATAGCGGCCAACTTTGATTAATTTGTAATTGTGCGATGCATTGTTGGAGTAAAAGATGAATGTTTCTCGAGGATTTTTGCCAGAAATTTTTGCTAAACAAAAGACAGCATTTCAGAGAACCGGAACGATGCTCGTTGCACAAAATGAATTTCTAAGAGATGCGTTGCGGTTGAGATATTTTAGCGACACTTTTGAATGGAATATAGGAAGCAGTTTTTTCATTTACTATTTTGTAATGACTTTATGACTTATTTAAGTATCTATTGTATTTTTACAAAAGGAAATAGTGCAATTTCTTAAAAAAAGAAGCTTACGTAATTTGCAGAATTTCTTTGAAACTAATTTTTTAACTATCTTTTTGCAGTGTCTTATTTGGATAATCATGATGTGCCCAGTCGCATTTAAAAATCATGTTCTGCATTAATGTCTGCACCAAGCATGAATGTTGTCTATATTATCAGCAAGACTGGTGGTACAGCCTTTTTGAATTCGTGTTTTGTTTGATGTTACGAGAGAGAAAAGTAATTGAGTGGTCTAATTTTACAATGTAATTAGAATGTCATTATTAATTATGTAACTGCATGTTTAATTGGGGTTTGCATTAGGAATATAGTTAACCAGTATCCAAAGTTCAGAAACTGGAATCGAATAATATGCAGCCATAAAATCGAATGCGAAAAAAAAGCATTCAATGATAAGCCCTATGTTTAATGTTTAGTTCGTTTCTTTCAAAGTGTTGTTGGAATTTGATAAAGTTAAAAACTAAAAGAATAAATGATCTTTTAACTAAAAATGCATCATTAATGTGTCAACGCAAGATAAGGATTGAATGTGAACGTAGTGTTGGCATTTTAAGTGTCTTGTTCATTTCATTTCTGAATCGAGCGGTGTTTGTTTATTTGAAAGGCTTATTTTACAAGTTTGTAAAAAGGATAAAGATATATTAATGTTTGACTGTCCTGTGTTATAAGTGTAGAATATGTGATTAACGATTACTTGAAGAGGCTGTGGTTTGGGGGGAAATACTTCTAAAATGCCAGTGAGGGTACTTTTTCAAAACATCATCTTGAATGAGTATTTTAATTTGATTAAACGTTCAATGCGCCAAGCGCATTCAATATGCAAGCACGTATAACATTTTGTAAATTGTTCATACAAATTACGAATATTCGATAAATATCAAATTTAATTTCATAGCCTTATCGTTTAAATAAAGATATCTTTCTGATAACAGAACTTAAGCTCGATATTTCACTTTTTTATTTTACAATATATTTCCAACATATGCCCTGCGTAAGATTTTTGGAATAACAAGAATACCAAGAAGTAAATTTTGAAAAGTTTATTGTGCAGAAAATATTACAAGTCCTTGGCCAAAACTCATATCTCACAATTTAATCAACTTTGTGGCCGTGTTATTATTATAGAAAACGACACTGGGAGAATACTTTATATGCGTAACGATTACCAGACACCTTTTCATGTGAATGAAATGAGAAGCCTTTTATACTCCTTTGTCTACATTCCGGGGGGGGCGGTAGGAAGCAAGTGTACACGAAAGAAGAATTTGTGGTATATTATCTTGTTTTAAAATTTACTCTAGTTATTTTTGAAAATTATCCCCCTTCTTTTTTTATATACTATTTTTTGTCTCAGGGGGGGGGGTTCCGACCAACAGGTGTTTGTGGTTTGTTGTTAAGGAGCACCTTTTGTTGCTCTGACGGCGTGCAACCGGGAGATGTTTGAAAAGTTGATACGTTCTTCATGGCTCTTGGACGTCTCTTACAGGTGACTGCGGGACCCCAGTCTCTAGGACAAGCTTCCAAAAGACATGTAAAACGTTTCACCAAATCACGGCAACCATGAATAGCGCCCCCGTACGCCCGGATGCACCACTCACGTCATGAATTTCTTGAAACAGGATTTGGGGGAAGTAGACCGTCTAACCCAGAAGAATTGCGTTGTCAGTAGATTTCAGCAGATTTTTCTACCGTTTACCTGATTTATTTTCATAACATCGAAACGAACTTAAGCAAACAATACCAAAACAACAAATATACAATAAACAAACAAACGGACACAATAAAAGCAAGACATTTATGTCGCTAAGCTGTCTGTGCAAGATTTTTGGAGCACGAGGAAGAAACGGGGTTTCGTATCTGTTAAGGTATTAAGGATAGGAGGAGTTTTATCTTCTGAGGAGTACAATCCTTTAGCATTGTATAAAGAAATGACTCAAAACAGAGTCCGGCATATTATCTTATTATTTATGCAAAGGATGCTACAGAATTTAAACTCGGTGTTTGTTTCACAGTACCTGGGTCAACAATGCATAGATGTCACGTGGTCTCTCTTTCAAAAAAACACCACCATTATTTTTGGCGAATCGTGCTTACCATTGTCAACACAGTGTGATTTTTGTATTAGAATTATCCATTGACTTTATTTCATTTTGACGAGACAGGTGCACCAAGCATATGTCTTTTGAGGGGTGGGAAAAGTTTTCCAGGGAAGGTGTTGGGTCGTCCTCCCCTTCAGTCCGGCCCGAACAAATGTTCAGATTTATTTGGGCCCACTGACACACACACGTAAATCAGAATATGCATCGACAAGCACTTAAACTTTAACTTTTGTCTTTATTTTACAGGTATTTCTAAGTAAATCTACTTTATTTTCTAACTACCTTTATGTCTAACTTTATATTTGAAGTCATTGGTGTAATCACGAAGAGCAGTCGATAGCACGTGTCTCCCCAGAGGATGTTTACGCCCCTCGACGCCCCAATTGGAAATCTTCAAATGAACGCAACCTGTACACAAGGCGCAGTAACTAGTGTTATGTGTACTCCCTACTGTTGTTCACCATTAATTTCATTCCAGTTACGACACTGGAAGAATCATGTAAGTAATGCATCCTGCAGTTAATAATTTTCCAATTTTTCAAAACCAAGAGGGTAATTCCCAAAACGCGGGTGGTAGAGGTTCGTCTTTAGTCCCGACTGTGCTATCAAAATCGCATAATCCGTCTTCAAAATGATGGTCATTCTATTAATTTTGGTTCCGCGATATTTTCTGTCCCTGTTGCAGCTTACCTGTGTAATTTGACAAGATCAAACAGATAAAATTATTTTTGTTTGCCAGGTAGTCTTCATTACTTAATCACTCCTGGAAATTAAAGAATGTGTTCTAAACTTACAAAGTCATAAGCCAGATGCAACAAGAACACCAGTATGAAAAATGGACCCCAAATTTAATGACCAATAATACAGTGAACGTACAAGCTGTTATTGTCCTTCTCTCCGACATTTTATATGGCGTGTTGTGGGAATTTATTTTATGCATTTGTTTCAAATACCTCTTTTCATTCCGCTCTTTCATCTTTTTATGGATCGGTACGTACAACTGGGGATCTCACAACCCATCTCTCCTCAAAAAGCTGGAAATTACATATCCAATCACCCTTGATCTTTGCCTTCAGACGTTGGTTTTAAAAAGGACATCTGGTTATGAAATCATACCTCAGTCATTCTGATCACTCATGGATTTAATTTGACGTAAATCATGCGAGGATCTCGAAATTAGGCCTAAAGCGTTTCCACAAATCCACCGGGGATTCGGTAACCGGGTTTCATCCTTCTGGGGACGAGTCGAGACAGGTGAACTGAATTTAGGGCAACATCTGTTTCGCTGAAGGGGAAGCAGGTTTGTGACAAACACTCTGGCTTGTACATTGGCAACGGCAGGTTGAGAACAATCCTTAAGGGAAATAACGAACCAGGAAAAATGGTTGGTGCTTTGTATGTGCTTATGAGCACGTCCCTCTTACAACCTTAAACATTTTCCCGTCTAAATTCAGCGCCAATATATGCACTTTTCTATCATAGAAGATAATTCTATCAAAGCAAAACGAAAGACAAAAAGGAGAATCTTCGTCAAGGACAAACATTTTTCGAGAAAACTTCTGTCAGTATCTTAATGTCAGGTCATCTATTTTGCTACACTTACCTTACTATACCGTTTGCTATAAGGAAACTCGGATTTTTATAATGCCCTGCAACATAAAGTAGAAATTGTTGACGCCTAAAAAAAGGATCTAGGAATATTCCAAAGATTCAAAAAAATAAAAACGTCTAGTCTTATGGCATGCTGACATGTGATAACATTTTGCAATATATTTTTGGGGGGAAATTCCCCGGGGATATGGTTGTGGATATGCTGATGGCACTTTGGAAATTCCTTGCCCTTTGTGCCAGTCAGTGGCGGGTACCGCCTCTTCATGTTTCTAGATGAACTCACGGCTGGGTTAAAGGCTTCAACTTCAGGAACGGTGAGAAAGAGGATTTCCCCGCGGAAATTTCTAGAGATGAATTGTCTCGTCACCAGGGTCTAGTCGTCTAGTTTATTTGTTTTGTCACATACTCCGCCACTGATTACACTTTTCACCTCATCAATGACAACCAGAGTGCTTGGCTCCTAGGAACATCAGAGAACACCAAGGTGACAGTACTACTCCAGGTGCTGGCGCCAAATGCAGGTTGTAAATATTAGTTTGAAATTGCCCCGTTACACTTAATCTTCCTTTTGGGTGAGTAGTGGAATGAATAGTGAAAAACAGTAGTGGAATTTCGAGTATTTTGTTGTGGTAATTTTTTATTTCGTTTCGGATTCGTTGTTGTGGCATTGCATGGCAGCAACCTAATGAATCACCTTTTTCACATGATTTCATTGGGCAGTTAATTAGAATGATGCTTTATAGACAACAAAATTGCGCCGTCGTGTCGTCCCACTATTGTATCGTGCCGTCGTGCCTTTAATGCTGTTTCTAAAAAGGGCTGGTGTTTATCATAGCCAATAGAGGGCGTACGTCACAAGTCATGGGAAAAAATAGCGCGCGTCCACGTACATGTACACATGTGCTGAGTTCGGCCGGTTAGTGTTCTCGATTTGTTGTTCGCGGGTCAGCTGCACGACCCAAGAACACTGTTCTCGGAACAGGATGATACACCACCTCCTCGACAGGGTTTTACAGGAACACACGGAAAAATTAGTGAGATTTTGATTTTTGAACGGTTCCAAAATCAAAATCTCCCTAGTCTATAGACAATGGGAAGTTTTACAAAATTAACATTAATAATTTTCAACAACACAGAAAATGAAAGTTCCTTTAAATTTTTAAAATAGAAAAGAATTCAGACCAGGTATTAAAACAGTTATCCTTGAGGAAAGTACATGGACGCCGCTGTAACCGGTAAATCTGCCCCCCCCCCTCGCCGGACACTTCCACCATGTTGCATGTTGCCTGTCACTAACTGCCAGCGAAACCCGGTTGTACGTTCCCGGTGTTAGAGTTCCCGCCGTTCGACCGCGAGAACAAGAAACCTGTGTTGGCCACCGGAACTCGACCATGGTGTAGAGGGCCTACAAGATGTGATAATGCGATGGGTGTGGTATTGAAAGTGAGTTCCGCCTCTAAAGGCACCCCCTATTTAAGACGCGACAGCACGACGCGACGGCTAAAGGGCACAACGAGACGGGTCGATCGCAATGGCACGACACGACGGCAAGACAGCTGGACACGACGTCACGACGCGGCAGTGCAACGGCAAGACGCGATGGCAGAGATTCTGTACAAATTTAAAACAGGAACAGGCGACATCACAACCCGACGACAAGACGCAACGGGGGCTCGGGGCCGTCACGTCGTCAAGGCGACGGCGATTTTGTCATCCAAACTTGTAACACCATAGTTTGGACTGGTCTCCGTCCCTATTATATACATAGCTAGCTGCGGTTTGACGTGTGAGATTAGCCCTGTTAGTTTGGATGCTGATTTCTTTTGTCAGGCCATTGACAATGCCTTAGAAAAAAAAAAGCGATGGGAACCCGGAACGCCCCCCCCCAAAAAAACCAAACAAACAGACAAACAAACACAAATACCTATCCTTGCTAAGCCTCTGTTGAGCACACTGTACTAATTTATTTTTCAGCGATTATCACCGATAAATTATTTTGCGGCGATTTATTTCATACCAGTGGTTATTGTAAATCATAGAAAACTGAACAATTTATGGTGAAGTTATTTTCGGCAACGAAGAGGACAAGGGAAAATATGCTGTAAGCTCCTACTTGATTTGGGCATTGAACGGGCATCGTTTCTCATTTACATACACCTGCAGGATTCTGCCAGATTCATTACCAGCTACCGGTCCCTTTGTTTGGAGGACGTCTGTAAGACGTCTGGAGACTATATATGGGAACCATTCTAACCATGGTTCGGTTCACAATTGTATAGAAAACCCGTGAAATGCATTAGCTTCCTAGATTGCGTCACAGCAACAGCGCCCTCACTTGTCTGGAAAGGCAATGACTCAGTTTGTGCACTTTTAATGCCCTTTACCCAGAGGTTTTCCCAGATATACACACGTGGTATTCATATACATTACACCTTTAAGAGGAATGGGAAGTTGCCCTAAAATTGTTTACCTGAGAAAAATTCTTCGAATGGGCCCTTTAAATATTTGTGTATCATGTTTGAGGGATATTTTAGTTTATCTAACAGAGGATGCGTAAACACAACGGAAGCATGCATGGAGGAGTACCCACGCATTATTCCTTATGAATTTGCTACCCGGTGTATTTCTCCAGCACCCAAACTTGTACATAAAACGTCTTTTAGTACATTAAAGTTTTCGTAAATTCCAAACCAACACTTTAGCTGGAGGTCCATAACTTTGCCTGAAGATGGTAATAAAATTATGCCACACAAAACACTCAACGTCCCTGGCGTTTAGTGAAGTTTGGGGAAAGAGTAGAATTTTAAACGGCCGTCGATGGTACACGGTCTAGCAAAGAATCCAGAAACACGACAGTGGTGGACGACTGGACTACAGTGCCAGCATTGCCATTGGTGTACACGAGGCACGTTTGGTCACACTCTCCTTGTACTGGGATCATTCGGGGAAAATCCATCAGCAAAGAGGATATTGAACAAAAATAATGTGACAAGGCTAAACGTCTACGATCTATGGCCATGATAATTCCACGCACGCAGAGCGTCCTAACCTGTCGCCCTGCAGTATGGCCCCCCTCCCCAATTCTGGAGCCTTTCATTTAAAGAAATATGTTAGCAGGTGTGAATAAGCCGAAAGTATCACTTCTTAAGTTTCACTTTTCAGGGTAGCGCATGCTGATGAAGCGAAACATAATGTCCTTGTCCTGCCTGACCATAAATTCAATTACTTGATAATGTCTCCTGGACATATTTTTCAACGTACTAAATTCTCTGCCCTTTTCAGCTGATTTGTCAGCAATCTCGATTTGATACTCTGGTATATCAAAAATGGTATTTTTGTGAAAACTGTAATTCTGGACACCCATATTTCTTGCTCTCTATGGTACAACAAACCTGCAGTGTGTAGAGTACACACAAGTGTGCATAATTAATGAAAAGACAGACTTCGAGAATATAAATTACAGTTAATAATAGAAAAAAGGAGAGGTATTTAGAAGTAAGTCAGTAATTGGGACATATACATACGCGCTGCATGGATTCCAGTACTGTTCGGTACTCTGCAAAAAGACGTCAATGAGTGCCGTGAAACTTGAAGTCTCTGCCCTTGTCAAGACCATCCCTCGGCAGAGCGATTTTTTTTTCGACCATAGGAATTTACCTTGAGGGTGTTAAGAACTACCACCTGTACCGTCTGGACGGTGTGCAGATTACCCATTGTGTGCAAATTAACTGTCTGGGCTCCTGGATGTGTTTACGTTGCCATCTGGATATACCTGCACCGAAATTGGGGCAGTACCTGATTGACGTGGACCCGTACATGTACATGTACGTGCTTCATGTTTGGATTGTTGGCCAGATTTATATGAATAGTATTAACCAAATATTAGGGGTGGGGCTAATTGTCGCCACTCGCTGTATGGTTTAAACATCTTACATATGAGAATCTACCCTAATATATCGCGATGTTGCCCTGTGTTGGTTGACGTGGGGATATGCACGGACATATTGGAAAAGACAGACGCTCTCGCTTAGTCTGTCTGTGTGACCATCTACACATACAATTTATAACTGGATTGTTAAATATTGTATGTATCAATATTTCCAGTACTATAAATACAGTTTCTATTATATTTTGCACTTGACCCAAACAGATGATGAATACTTAACACATTGTTGATTCGAAGTCAGTCAAAGAAACAGACCAGACAGCCATGAATTCGGGGCCGTCCATACATGAAGGGGGCACAGGTTGGTGATGTTGCGTACACAATGCGTACAAGGGGCAGGGGGGGGTTCAAGCTAGTGCGTAAAGTACGCGAAATTAAAATTTACCTTTAATGAATCTTCATTATACAATGCACTTCCTCATATACAAATAAATATCAGAATCAGCTTTTGTGCATCGAAATTCAAACACAGTATCCTCCACCGTCCACCCCACCATTTATCCTCCCGTGCCAACGCCCATTACTAGCAAACCGCAACAATACCCTTGACACAAAAAAGACAAGCAGCGTCTTCAAGAATTGTGGAATGCGTGTGCACGCGTATAGGGGAGAGGTGGGTGGAACCACTGCGTACGCCTTGGGTACAGGGGATCGGGTGGAGGGGTCTGCAAAGTCGGCATTTCGTGCGTAACTATGTACTCAATGGACAGTTCCAAAGCTGTAAAAATCTGTGTAAGGGTTAATGGGTCAGCTGTGTCGTTTCGTGACAGATGAAGACAAGGTCTCTTGTTATTTGACCGGTGACGCAACGGCAAAGAAGCAGAAGGACATATTCGAACGACGTGTGCTGCTTTAAAATTAAACTAACAAGTCGGAATGACATTTCTTTCTGTATTAATTTCCACGATCAAACCCTGGGCCTATATGAACAACATTCATTACGTCAAATCTGTAATCAACAGCATACTCCGAACCGCAACTGATCTCCCCACGGATCATAGGTCTTCCCAACTTGCCTAATTACTGATAACCCACACAATCCCATCACGCGTGAGGAGGGGGGGAGCTGACACTGACCCAAGGTTCCCCAAAGAAGAAAGGACACAAAAAACAAGGTGCTGAATATGTCTTTTAGAGGAAGAGGAAACGCAAAAATGAGACTTTTATGCAGACTTAAGACAATTCCAATTGCAATCTAGGAAATGTCACTTTTATTTCTTAGAAGACGGTAGGGGAAGTTGAGCTGCTGTTGTTTTTGACTTTTAATAGTCTGTGTCTTTGGTCAAAAGTTACATTTTGTGACAAAATCATCACCTGAAATCACTTTGCCACCCCTGTCTTAACATCAAACACTATTTAATCCCAAGCATAAATTTTGGTTTATAATATATACTAAAAAAAGAAACGTTGCAATTTTGTAAACTTGAATTATTACAATGGACATTCGATCATAGGCTCATTTTGATGGAAAAATTGTAATTCTATAAATGGTGGAAAAAATTGCTTTGTTTCTGTTTGTTTTCCGCATAAAATGAAGCCGCTCTGTTGCTATTAGAAACCAGCGAAGTGATCAACATACATTAATTATGTTCTGGTTTTAATGGCCACAAAGGACACCAGAATTGGTGAGTTTGCTTGGTTTGGTTAGGAAAAATCTTTTAACTATTTACAAACGCAGGTCTGGGCCGATATTTCACTCACGAGCCTTTGGATGAATGTACCGTCAGTCAGGCGATACAGGATAGATACCGGGGGCTCATATGTGGCAGGCACGCAGCACGGCGACAGGTATCGACGAAGATCATCATCCGTCTCGGCCAGGGCCTGGTTTCGCATCACGTACGCGTGGCTTGTCGCGAAGTTACTTACTTGGAGGCAGCTGCCCCGGCAGAAGTTGGCAAAAATGGTGCTCGGCCGATATATTGTCGCCTCCATCACTTGTTTTAGGTCCACCTCGAAATACTGCAAGCAGCAGGTGTCTGAGTCCCCTTGGCACTGACTTTGACGCCGTAGTCTTTGATGATGTTTGTCTGGGTCAACAGCCACAGCCAGTACTGGCAGCTCATCTCTGGCTAGGGACACGGGAGGAAACTGCAGGGGTTCCTGGGAAGAGTCGGTGAAGAAGTCCGTAGCAGCGTTTGTCAGCTGAAGACGGTGTTCTGTGGAGCTCCAGTCATTCTTCTCCCGTGGTAATTTAAGATGAAACCAACCCTCTCGTTTGCTCATCACCTGAAAATTATAGAAAAGGAAAGGATGTTTCATTAAAAGCGGCTACTCAAGTCCTGCGGCGTAAATTTGTGGGGATGGGGGTTTGGTGGGGATGACTTGCCAAGCCATGGAAATTTGAAAAGCGTGGTGGGTGCTGACACGATTATGACACATCTGTGATGATTACGACATTATTGCATTCCCACAGATTCTTGCATCAGAGCCGCAGTGGGTTTTGAAAATTTGTTCAGGCTTTTTAGTTGTTGGGAAGTCAGAAAAAAATCGTCACAGTCCACACTAAGTTCTTTCTGACCACGAAAACGTCGGGGGGGGGACTATTCAATAGCTCACCCTAAAGCTGTTTAAAGAGAGAGTTACGACATGAGTGTCTTAACTGTCGGAACCAAAATAGTGGATTATGCGTCACTGCACAAGGACAATCAGTACACAAATAGCTGCATGCTGCACTGCACAGATATAATAAACAGCCATTCTGTTTCCCAAGTCTGAAGTTGACGCTACTAACCTCTCTATAAACAGCCCTGGCCCGTCCCCCGGCCAAAATGTGTGTGTTTGGGGGGATGTTCAAGTCACACTTTTCTAGTTTCTGGATTCTATTTCTGTAGTAGTACCTATTTCCAGTGGTTGTGGATCGTTTCTTAGTTTGAATGAGGCATGAAAGGTTTGGCAGGCAAAACCAAAGATTCTGTAATACGTGTCTGTATGACAGGTCTGTGCACAAATTGGCGGTGTATACAGTCATGAAATAATGTGTTCGGTACCCTACTCCTTTTTAGAACCACAACAATTAACAAGCCAGACACAGGTGAACCACAGTTTTGCGGCTCAACTGAAGTCGTCGCACCTGACGTGCACTATCTAAGTTATCCTAAGTGCGAGTTCCTACCTTAGTAGCCAACTCTTCTCGTTTGATTCCGGTATCCTTTGCATTGAGCAACCATATTGTCAAGCGCCTTGCGGGGCTTCGGTTGAAGTCTTCAGACGAGGTTAGAAATAGCCAAAGATGAACGGACTTGACGGTTTTACCTATGATATCCCTAACAAGGTGGAACCGAAAGCAGAATCCCGGCTCGGGGCAATCGTTGGTATCTGCGGAGTTAACACAGGAAAAGTGATTGAAAATACGACGTCATTATATCCAACCTTAGGGACAAATAGAAAAATGATTAGCTGGAATTGTAGTTCACTTGAGCAAAAGCAAAGATATCCAAATTAAGGAATGCAACAAACAAAATTCCATAGATTTTGATAAACTAAAAGCATGAGTTCCACATCACCATTATAACCGAAATATTTATGTTTTATGTTATGTCTATTTTTCTGTCTTCTGTTATGTCAACACTCATTAAATTTAAAGGTTTCACTTTTTGTCCATTTTTTATGAATGACTTCAAAATGATATTGCAAAAACGGTGTTGGCTCTACAAAGCTACATTACATTCTAAGATAATATGAAATTGTGGAATATTCACAACGAAAAGACGACGCATTGAGTTTTTCACTCAATCCCTTTCATTTTCTGGATTGGGCTATTGATGGGGAACGACATGTCAGGATAAATATTGAGCACTAAACAATAATAATGAATATAATCAACAGTTTTAAAAACAACTCTGCAGCTCTTTTTTTGCCAACTTGCGATGGTGGCCATGGACACGTAATACCATTCATTCTGGTCTGTTAAGTTCAGAAACTGTGTTTGTGCTTACAATTTTCAGCGTATGACAAGACTTCGGTAATTTGGCTGGCTGGTCGTTCATATCTCGGTAAGTCTCGCTGGGGTGGCTGGTGGTCCATCAGTCGCTTCTTGATCGCCAGGGGTAGGGTTCGATACGGCTTGTCTGAAGCCGGGGACAGCTCTGTCAGGCCGAGTTTCTCCTGAAGTTGCATCCGCAACATAGCAATACGGAACGCTCTCTCCCTTGCCGACAAACCGTCGATCACATTCTCCGTGGGGCGGGGGTTAGGTGAGTCTGTACTGCTGGGGGAAGGACTATTGGAAGGGGAGAAGGTCCCTTGTGTAAAAATGATTGAATGCTCGTCTTCGACGAGTGTAGGCTGGGAACCAGACAAGTTGTTCTCTGCGGAGGCGTTTTTGTCTCCTGGCAAGGCAGAAGGAGCTGTACATCTTCCCATAGAAGTGTTGTAGGTAATCAGCAACAACAACATGGTGAAAGGTGCGACCACCATGGTAACTGTCATTAAATATTGCTGCGGTTGTTGAGGTGTTATTCTTCGGTTGTGGGTTTGGTCTTGTGCCTGGTCAGACCATCAAATTCGACAGAACCACGCCAAAGGATGATGTAGGGTCTTTCTTAGTGCTGGCCAATTGGATCATTCTTTTAAAGACAGCAGTGCGGAATTTCTGAGCGTGCATTAAAATGTGACACCAAGGCTGATCAGCGGGAAATAGCAATGGCCCCTTGATGAAATGGTCATGACAGAATTATTATGTTTCGTTGAAAGGAATGTGAGAAATATTTCAATATAACAGGGCCTAACGGAACAGCATCGACCCGCCCCACTCCAGTCACCACCACTTACTCTCTAGATTAATATTTGGGTATCAATGATCTAGTGACTGATTGGTCAAATGTTTTCCTTCTCGTTGACGTCATCACAAATTTTCGTATCGGTCACTTTTCGTACACGTCCCTTTTCGGGAACAGAAATGCAGACGATAATGCCAGCCACAGTTGTTCGAAAACTGGCTATGATTTGGAAATGGTAGTGCAGGAAATTCAAATGGGGTGGAGGCTTGAAACGTGACGTGAAGTGGCGCTGTTCATGGTAGAAACCAGTATGCATAACATATCGAACTGGGATCTAATAAATGGGCACCCCGCATACTGATTCATAATGGGGGGGGGGGGCTTAGCACAGGCAAATTGTTCTGATGTCCTTTCAACACGTGTATTGCGTTATTATACGGGCAAGGGCCATTGTAATAATAAGGTAATAAGCGCATAGAGACATTTCGTAATGTGCGCTATATAATAACTGACTATTATTATTAATTTTTTCACTACATGCAGAAAATCAATCTAACCCGACATCGATTCAAAACTCGTTCAAAGTAAATTTCTGCCAGTCAAAAAGCGTCCAACCCCTCCCTCTTCCTCCTACCCTACTTTTCGAATATTTCGCATTTGTAAGGTTTCAGGTTTCCATCAGTATTTCCCCCATTTGTAAACCCAAATGCGTGCCCTTGCAGCAACATATCCACCTAGGGCAATGCTCAACTGAGGGAAGTGAATTTGAGCCTATGGTTCGAGCGTACTTCTACTAGGTCTTATGGAGTCGGCGGATAACGCTAGGTAAGTTAAAGTAGCTTACAGTCATGATGAGATTTTATCCTTGTTCAAAGTCGGAGTTGAGTTTTTTTGTTGATTTGTGTCTTCTGACGACAGACTAAGCACGCAGTCTGAAACCTTGAGTACATTCCCGGTTCTTTTCAGAAACACACACTCATTAGAGGTCGCATGGTGCTATCGCAAGCCTTTCCACCTATTGCTGTCTCTCACCGTGAATAGCCTCAAATGCCATTGGTTTGTTTTATGTTTTGTTTTACTTTGTTAGTTTAGTTTAGTTTAGTTTTGGTTTGGTTTGGAGGGGTGTTTTGGTATTTGTTTGTTAGTCATGGCGGATAATTAAACAATTCATTGGTTAACTTACTACAATTTGAAAATCAAATGAAATCCGAAGCACCAAAAAAACACACGTTTTTTTGTCTGAGAGGCTTCAGGGACTTCAGTTGCCTGCAATGGGGCTCCAAACTTTGTGATTTTACACTGTTTTCAATGGAACTTGGATTAGTTCGGTGGACCCTTAGTTATGACACTGCCCAGCCCCAAGTGAACACACTGGGGAGGGAGATTGCCTTTTTACACCTGTCGCCGTACGGCGCCTGACTAATACATGTAGTGACCACTGAAAATAACAGGCGCACATATACACGAATCCAAGTTTATTTTATAAATCATCGGAATGAGATTGCGTATATGAAATTCTCTATTTCGAAAAAGGGCAATGATTTCAGACAAATCTACCTATTTGCACACCCCCCGACTGAAATCTGGATACTCCACTAGAGCAGGTAAAATGCTTTTAGATTATTAAAAACTTGAAGTCTGTACTATTATGCAAGTATTTATAGTCGGAATGCAGTGATAACACGTGATATACAATACCAAAGTGAATACGTCACGCGCACAATGTCTTATGATGGAGATCAACGTGTAAAACACTGATCTCTATCACAAAAAGGCATTATGGCCAATCTCGACTCCATGGGCCGCGTTCGCGTCCCTTCACTAACTGTGGTTTTTCACGTGACGTCGCTTGACCGGCATTTGACCGGCAAACGCAGTTCAAGAAGCGTTCCAAGTCTGCAGCGCGGCGCGTACATTTTCGAATCTACGTCTTTCAGTTGGCAATGTCATGCTCGCCAGAATCCTGAGAGACTTCGAAGGTGGAAGCATTTCCGCGCACATCTGTGTATACTGAGCGCTGACCGTCAAAAATCGCGTGACGGAAAAAGCTCTATAAACAAACATAAAATAAATCACCAGAGTATTTCAAAAGCTACTCGCTCGCTCCCACGTATTCCCCTGTATGTCACTAACGCACCCAAGTGTGTATTTGATTGCAACTGGGGACACCCTATTGTTCCTCTTTTGCTTGTACTTTAAATAATTTTTTTAGAAGACCACCCATATGTTTTGTACACAGTTGTCAATCGAGGACCTTCTGTCAATAATTACTGGGGATCTCATTGTCCTCTATTGTTCAGGGTCCCAAATGCAAAAACAAACTCATATAAATCTGTGTCTCACGTCAACATTTCGATTACAGTCCTAATTTAAATCTCCATACAAGTGGGATATGCACATTTCTATTATAAAAATGCAGATCAATGGATACACACTATACCAGGGGTTAATATCGCACAAGTCATGGTGGGAATCAACATGGCGCGGCAAGATCGTACCCATGGGATAGGGGTGCATTCCATGGGATTTTTACAATAAGACAGACCATGACCAGGAGGGATCATAGAAATATTTCTATAAATCCCGAATTTGGGACTGATAGTTTCCAGTTCGGGGTATTTCTTTCACAAAAAGCCCCCAAATACGGGCCTATTTTGGACAGAGGCGGGTGGATACGTTCAGAAATGAGCGCTCTTTTCCTACCTCCATGGTTTTACCGCTGTTTTGGGGTGTCTTCCTTGAAAGGCGAATAAAAATTTTGTTCTTGGCTAACCCCCATGAAATTGAAACGAAAAGTGATCTTCAGGCCATAATCTAGAATTCCCAGTGAAACAACGGAGGCCAAGCTCTTCTCGAAAGTCAACAGGCGGCGCTATTTTTGTCCGATTTTGCACTGTTTTCTATGGGTGCGTATTTGGTGTAGTGCAACCATAGAGGTTGGGTATTAGTGCTTTGACGAGAACCAGCCTGTGAACCGACACGCGCGCGTACTTCATTCGTCACTTCCTAGTTCACAATGACGTGATACTTCGATTCTCTACACTGTAAAAACTAAAGATCGTATAGCGCCGAAGGCGCAAGATGGATAACTCTACCCAAAAGGTGTAATTATCACGGGCGCCATTTGAGCAAGCGATACGCCTGCGCGGTTTACGGTAATGCTTTGGCGCAGGCTCACCAGGTGCACGTGCCTGCCGCGGCGCCTGCGCTTATGCAGTAATGTGCATTACGCAGGCGTATCGCTTGCTCAAATAGCACGTACGTGATTACAAAATTTTACGTGTATTCGCGGGGAAGTTCTCCATCTTGCGCTACTATGCGGCGCTATACGATATTTGGTAAAAACATTGGGCAAAAAAGTTTAGCAACGCTTAATTATCCAGATGTTGGTCACTTTTGGTATAATGTTGGCCATTTTCCAAAAGATTTACCCAACAGTTGTACACCTTGTGACCAAAAGTTGGGAAGTTAATATTTACACCAGTTTAGGTCAAACGTTGGTCAAAATATGCCCAAAATTTTTACAGTGTATTGTAATGTCACATAAAGATCTTATGAACGAGATTAATGTTAATTCCTTTATAAGAAGGCCTTTGAGACGACATAATTCGTAACACGCATTAGCCAGATTTCATTTTATATGTTGTACTTGGATACTGTTGATATACTTGTTAAACCTTGACGTGTTTCTTGAAGGATTTTGTCCCCAAAACTACAAGATCAAGTCCCTAGGTGTCTGGTGTTCTGCACGCACTTGGGATGATGTAAGTACATATTAATCTGTGTGCAGCTGACCTTTGAGCCATTCCAAGGCCCAATACCACTCAATGGAGGTAGTAACTGTTGTTTTGTTTTCTGTCCTCGGGAAAGAGTCAGGTAAGGATTACATAAATATTTAGGGGCGATCTTGGACGTCTTTTGTCCCTCGTGCTGGAATAGAGTAAACCACCTTACACATTTCCCGAGGGTCAAACTGAATTACGACACACCGGTTCTAAGCGATTTGCAATTAATATAAAAACAACGCTTTTCCACAATGTTGTTGGAGAGCCAAACTTATAAATGACAACTTGGCTGACACTTTTATGTTTGTCTTTAATATTCGAATCCAAGTGAGTTTCGTCATAGCATGAAAAGCTGCCGAGGTTTATGGAGACAACTTCCCCAATCCACTTCTGAGATATTTATTCCCATATTTCGCGCCTATAAATTCGTTGTCTCCTTTAGTTAAAACAAATTTATCACCAAGAGTCCGTCAAGTGCATGACTAAATACCTTTTTCATGCAGAAATGGTTTATTTACCCAAATTCAAAAGCAGAGTCATGGCTTTTGCTAATTGACGTTCATGCGGTTATTGCTGACGCCAATACTGTTTGTTCTTCCGCGAACGTACTCGTTGCTGATGCTGCAGTGCTGCTGTGTCTTACTATAGCCGATGGTTCTGCAGACACGGAGGGTCGCTGGGATTTTTCCGGGGGCAAAGCACTTATCAGAGGCAAAGCGACAAACCATATAGGTGGAAGGGGTCGGGTCTGGTGTATTTTTAAGCAAATCGGGGTCTTTCCTGAGCCTTACCTCCCCTTTATGTTTCTTTCAAAACTTTATTATCACTATTATTTTTCTTTCCATTTTTCAATTTTTCGGGGGGGGGGGCGTGTGTCAGGCAACCACATGCCCCCCTCTTGCGATACTAATGCCTGCTGTGCTGTTGGTGTCTCCGACAATGGCTTTAATGTCTTGCAAGTGGTAGCCGTTAGCTCAGCTCCATGCTATAGGCCTACCTTAAGTTAGAAGTCAGTGCAAAGAAATCAAGATCCACCTGTTATTTGGTAAAGTACGTGCGCCCTCTGGCAAACTGGTAAACATCTTAGTTAAATCCCAAAGCCACATGTTGTTGTGGTCTAACTCCTTGAAAGAAACGATCATCAA